CCCGCCCCTTTTTTTTTTTTGTTCCCCCCCCCCCCCCCCCCCCCCCCCCCCTCCTTCATGCCTTTGTGTACCACTTGCTTGCCTGCAGGTGTTTGTTGCCACCGGTGACATTGCGTCCATGTGGATCCGGGATTCCGCAGTGCAGCTGGGCACGATAGTACCCCGCATGACGCACCAGCCTGCGCTTCGGCTGCTGGTAGAGGGTGCCGTGCGCACACAGGCGAGTGGGTGGTGCCGCCTTTATGTCAGCGCCTTGTCTGCCCTGCCACCGAGCTCTCTGGGTGCCTGAGGCTGTGTGCCTCTGCATCGATGCAGGCCACAATGATTGTTATTGACCCATATGCCAATTCGTAAGTGATGTTTTCGTAGTAGAATAGTCAAACAAGCTTTGGCCATATTTCCTGAAAGCTGAATTAGTTTTGGAGTTGCGCTCTAACACATACCTTCTTTTTGGGTGGGCATTCCATTAAATGCAGGTATTATTTCAAATGGCAGAAGGCCTCGCGTATGAACAAGGAGGATCGCTTGCTGGGGCGCGGCGGCTGGGTTTCCACCCGAAACTATGAGCTGGTCAGTGGAACCAGGGGTGCGGGGCCAGGTGTGCATTGAGCTTGCCCAAGTAATGGGGTATTTGATCCAGCACTTGAACCTAATCAGCAATCACCCCACCTCCCTGTGTGGGCACACCCTCATCCTCTCTTCCCCAGGACTCTGGCGCCTACTTCCTGCACCTCTTATGGGACCTTCACTCATTGCCTGGCTATGGTCGTCATGCGCTGCTGACAGAGCCAGTGGTGTATGAGGCTGCCTCCCTGTTGGTGGACATCTGGACGATAGAGCAGCGGCATGAGGAGCAGTCACAGTACCGCTACTCAAAGCTGCCACGGGAGGGTCGGGGCACTCTCAGCAATTTCACAGGTGGAATACGTTGGATCCTGAGAACATGTTGTTCTTGATAAAGCAGCCCTCGTGCGCAACTGCATATTGCTCCCTATGCAGGCATGAGCTGGAGCGGCTTCCGCCCCAGCGATGACACGCAGCAGTACGGCTACAACGTGCCCGTCAACATGTATGCCCAGGCGGCACTGGAGCGGGCGCTGGAGCTGAACGCTGCGCTGTGGCGCCGCAAGGATTTTGAGGAGCGAGCAAGCATGCTGGCACAGGGCATGAGGGAGGGTGGGTGGACTGCCTCCTGCAGCCAGCCTGCTGCAAACGAGCTTCTCTGCAGTGATACTCAGGCAAGGCTGCATCCTGTATTGCAGGCATTGAGCAGTGGGGCATTGTCGAGGTGGATGGCGAGAGGGTGTATGCCTATGAAGTGGATGGCCTGGGCGGCAAACTGGTGCGACTCCTGGGACCATCGCTCTTGCTGCGGCGACAATTGCTGTGCAGATGCTCCACCTGTTGTGCCGTGTTTGACTATCACCTGTTGACTATCACCTTTGCTCCTGGTCCTCCGCTGATGGTGGGTGCAGGTTGATTTTGACGACGCCAATGTGCCAAGCCTGCTGTCCATCCCGCTGCTGGGCTTCCGCTATGACCCCAGCATCTACCGCAACACAAGGGCTAGAATACTCAGCAGCAAGAATCCGCATGTACGTGTGCAAGGGATCCCTTCTGCCCTTTTCCTGCTTCAGGGCAGCTCCGATTGTGTGGTACACCTCGACCCAGCCTGCGAGCTGCCCAACCCCTTGCTGCAGTTTTACAGCGGTCAGCACTTGAAAGGCATTGGGTCGCCACACACGCCGCCAAACCACGTGTGGCCGTTGGCCATCGCAGTGCAAGGCCTCACTGCCAGGAGCACGGAAGAGCGAGCAGAGATGCTTCGCACGCTGCTGAAAATGCAGTGTGGCAACGGGCTCATGCACGAGTCGGGTGGGTGGGTGGCGGGATGGTCCAGCCGGCAATGAGGAGGGACCTCGCCAATGGGATTGCAAACACCTTCGTGCAAGCGCCCTCCCCTGCCTGCAGTCAATGTGGACAACCTTCAGTCCTGCACTCGCACCTGGTTTGGGTGGGCCAACGCCATGCTGGTGGCTCTGGTCGAGGCGGGCGCGGGCATGGACTGCACTGCAGCTGCGGAGCGGCAGCGGCTGGCCAGGATCAAGGTGATGGGAAGGGCGAATCAGCAAGTTCCGGGTTGCGGCATTGTCTGGAATGCGTGTGCCAACATCGACGCCCAAAGCCACTCGTGTGCGGAACTGCAGGACCGGGAGGCAAAGGACAAGTCATCCAGGCCCGACAATGGCGGCGCAGACGATCCATTGTACTACGAGGCATTGACGGCCAACATTGGATTCGACCTGGATGCAGTCGAGATGCCAAGCTATCTGGGAGGAGCTGTGCTGCCTGTGTGACTCGCCCTCGCGGCGCCAGCTGTCAGCAGTACGCCGCCGCTGAAGTGCAGCTCAGACGCTCTCTTCGCAGATTTCAACATCCTGGCTTCCTCCATGTTACTCGATTTAACCTTTACAGAGTCAGCCGCACGTGGCAGCGTAAGCAAAGATCTGAGAGCTTAGCAAGTTGTGCTCAAAATGGCCAGCATCGGGCTTCGCACTGCTGTTGCCAAGAACCACGGGTGGCTGCGGATGGGCCTGTTGCTTCTCGTTGCACTGGCGGTGTTTATCTCGGGGCCGCGCGGACACGTGAGGGGCTTCGTGACTAGTGTGCATGCATTACTTGCGGCATTCGATCAGGGATGATCCCCCCGCGCCTGGCGGCGCCAGTGGGGACCATACCCGCGGTACCATGCTTGCAGAAAACTTTTCTCCTCCCACCAAATCCATACTGGTGCTTGCAGGATTGTCCGCCCGGCCAGCCTGCAATTAAGGAAGGAAAGCAGCCAGTAAAGCAGCTGCAGCCACTTCAGGAGGGATCGCCGTGCATCCCAGGGAGAAAAGATTGGCTGGATCATATCGATGATAAGAACGTGAAGGTATACTCGCAAAACGGGGAAGATGGGATCTTGTTATTTATATTTGCTAATGTGGGTGTTACCTCAAGGTACTTCGTTGAATTCGGCACGCAATCATGTCAGGTAAGAAAAGTGTTGTGGGGGTTTAAAGAAGGGGTGTATTTTGGGTGGGAGTGGGCTGCTGATTCGAATGGAATGGGCTGCTGATCCCAATCCTGCCAGGAATGTAATACGAGGGTGCTCCGAGAGTTATTTGGGTGGAGTGGGTTATTGATGGATGGCACCTTCAAGAATCCTGAGATCAACTTGACTACCGAATTTATCACCCCGGTGCGGAGCATGCTGCAATGTATATCACAGGAAGATATACATCAACAAAAGCAATTAATTTGTTTTCTCCCGCAGGGTAACATCAATGACCTGTTTGCAAAACACCAGGTGCCCGAGGAGTTTGATTTGCTGTCCATAGGTAAACTGCAGTGAACCTGACATCCTCCTCTGTTCTTGCACCTGATAAGGGCCATCTCATTCTGCCGCAGATGTGGATTTCGACGACTACTGGGCAAGTAGTGGATCAGCTTGCATCTTTGAATCAGCAGGCAGCTAGCCTATCATCACAGCATGCACTGCTCCCATAGTGTGGGCGCAGGTCTGGAAGGCTGTGGATATGAAGTACCGGCCCCGCGTCGTGACGATTGAGGTGAGGTGTGCTTTGCGGCATGTGATCCTTGCAACATCGCGGTTATGTAACCAATGCATCGCACCAGAGGCCTTGAGCTCTCACCGGGCTTCCATGTCGCATGACTCGCAAACATGTTTGTTCACTCCTGCCACAGTACAACTCTGCAATTCCCGCCAACCAGCGCCGCGTCATCGATCCTGCCGACAAGCAGCACTGGACAGGGGTGCGCCATCATGCTACGAGGCCCAGACACATCGTGATCATGCCAGCAGTCACATCTGCCTCCTTTGGCTCAACTGCAGACAACCTATTGCAGCGCATCGCTCCTGGCGCTGCATGATCTGGGGAGGCTCAAGGGCTACACTCTGGTCGCGACCGATAAGCACGGCATCAATGCCTTTTTCGTGCGGACGGACATCCTCGAGTGCCAGAAAGTGCAGGTGAGTGTCGGTATGGCGAGTGCAGCGCGACCGCAGCACACACAGGCACCCGACCCCCTCCACCACGATGGTTGCAGCCCCTTCCTTATGAGAAATTGTACCACGCGAACTTCACTTTACTTTATTCCACTTTGGAGACTAATGAGAACCGCAAGTGGCTCTGGCTTGATGAAAAAGGAAATGTGATGAAGAGGGAGTTCCTGCCTGCCTAATTGGGTCCCTAAAATTGGGGCCCAACATGGCAGGGGGGCGTTCGAATATGAAAACGAAGGGGGCAGGTGGCTGCTGCTCCCTGTCGACGGGCTTTGGATTTGAACACACATCTGCAATGCAAACAAACAAACAACGAAAAAAACACGGCCTTCCTTGAGCGGTGGCCAGAGGAGCGCGCTGCGCAGTCGCTGCGCCACTCATGGGCCGCGACACAATCGGCAAGATGTGTCATCCCTCGTCTTCTTCTCTTCCCAAATTGAAACGCACTGATAACGTCCCGGCAGCTGCTATATGTTTGACAAAGGTTTCGTGCCTACTTCGCGTGTCGCAGCGGTCGAAGCGTCGAATTTCCGGTGATACCGATCAAGCAGACCCGCCCAAAGGTCTTTGAGGCCTTCGGGCCCTAACCGAGCGGGGTTCGCGGGGTTTGTGGCGCAGTAAACACAACTCTACCTAAAGGACCGCTCCTGGACCAGCGTGTTTGAGTGTTGACGCATCACTCAACCCTGCCGAGCGCACAGTAAGTTTGTGCCTGGCGGGCGGAGGTACTACCGTAGGCGGTCGGGATTGTGCACCTGTACAGGTTTCTTGCGCAATCAAATGTATGCAAGATAGGGACTCTGCTGATAACCCACCCACCTGCCCCCCTGTAGCCTGTCTGGTTAATGTTTCCTGGCACATGGCACGCACAGATATTGTGGTTTCTAATTTTAACAGTGGCAAGCCGACACTGTGGCAAGGTCTTGTCCTTTCCCTGTTGGTTGTGATCATTCTCCTTCTACTGCCAGACGCCCGTTGGTGAGCATGTTGGAAGTCATGGCAGGTCTCCTGGCGGTGCCTTCTTTTTCATGCAGACCGTGCGTGCCCTGCCTGGTGTTGGAACGTGCGCAGGAAGAAGGCAGAGCACCTCGTGGTGACTGCTGCCCACCCGAGAGTGCCTTCTGCGCCAGATGAGGAGGCCCTCCACCACCACGTGGGAGGAGCAGCAGTACCAGCAGGCAGCCCCTCAGCAACACACAGTGGCAGCAGCGGAGCTGTGCCAGCAACGGGCGGTCCCCAATTGGGTGCTGCTGCTGCTGCTGCTGTGACGGCGATTCATCGCAAAGACCCGCCGTTGGGACCGCACTCCCAACGCTGGGCGCCGCTTGTGCTGTCCCGCTGCACCCCCGACATGCCGGCACACTGGGCCCCGTGCCTGGTGGG